TTACACGTGTCATTTCATATATGGAACACCACATCGACACTAGGTTGTAAGTTTGTACGATTTATTGGGTTTGTAAATGATTTATGCATATACATTAAGTAATATAAGTTGTCAATTTGAGACCACAAATGAGACAACTGGTTGATATCTAAATCTTGTCTGGACCATGTGAATACGATGTTTTGTAACAACCTTGTAAAATAATTGAGTAAAAAATATCAGATTCATGCTATTAAATAACATTACGTCAAAGTCAGACAGTTAGTGGTCCATATCCAGCTTAACTCATTTATTCATATGAACTCAACCATACGACTTTTGGATTATGACTTAGAGGATGAACCTAACATTGTTCAACTTGCAACATTCAGATATCCTTAACATACATTTTGTATACGGTTTGTTTTGTTTTTTTGGTTGACTAACGGAAATCCGCTATCTTATTATAGTTTTGTTCAAAATTTTGATATTTTTTAATTTTCAAACTATTCCTTTAATTCTGATATTTTTTATAAATTCTGATTTTCGATGGGTAAATTTTTATAAAAACCCCACTTAAAAAGTTATTCAAAAGTGTATTTATATGCTCATAGACTTGAAATCATGTGAGATCAAAGGTTTTTCATGAGACCCGTAAGACCAATTCTCAACCATTGGATTAGATCTACAATCTAAATATTAATAATCACAAAATTGCCACAAGACTTCTCAATAATCACAAAATTGTCACCGTGCAACTTTAGACCATTAGATCATTAGCTTATAAAGTTGATCAATGAACATAAATTGGTCTTACGAGTCTTACAAAAACCTTTGGTCTCACGTGAACCCAACCCTATGCTTATAACCTTCTTATTTATATTGTTTTAGAATCTTTTTAATAGTATAGTTTGAATAATTATATTTAATAAAATATTTACTTATAAAAATTGAAAAAAAAAACGTTGACAAACACAACCGAACTGATCTCAATCCGTATCGAAAATGATTGTTCTGCTTCGTGTTTCCATTTTGTCCTCTACTAACTTGTTTTGTTTTTGAGAACGAGGATATATATTTGAGAACCCATAAAATTTTGATAATCTTGAGAACTGGTGCATCATGTGCTATTTTACATGATCTTTTTTCCATTTACGATTTGGATTTCGTATACTGATTAGCATATATTTGTTTCACAATGTGCACATTTTTTGTGTTTGTGAAACTAAAAAAGTTCACATTATGAAACAAACACACTGTAAAACAAATATATGCTAATCAATATGTTAAATTCTAGTCTTAGATTAAAAATAATAATGTAAAACAATACTTTATGATGATAGTTCTCATAATATATAAGATTCTGAAATGATTAAACCCGTATATATAACGGGAGTTTAAAATACAAACCATGTAATTCTTACAAACTTAACAAACCGATCTCAACCATACATTTAAATAATCAATGATGTGAATTAAATTAGTTCCTAAATTCACTCCCAACCGTATTTTATAACTGTCTCTAAATTTTAAAATAAACAAGAATATATGGTGTGTGTGTGTTTGTGTGTGTGTATATATATATATATAGGGTTGAGTTCACGTGAGACCAACTTGTTTTCGTGATACCATTTTTTTACATTTGAAACCTTACACTAAAACATTGTAAAAGTAACCTTCACAGTGTTTTTGTTGTGAAAGTTCGACTTTTTTTACCTTCACAGCGTTTTTGTTGTGAAGGTTCGACTTTTTTTACCTTCACAGCGTTTTGCTTTGAGGTTTCTAGTGTAAAAAAAGTGGTCTCACAGGTCTCATAAAAACAGGCTAATCTCCCATGATCCTAGGTGTGTGTATATATATATATATATATATATATATATATATATATATATATAAAACAAGTCCAATCCAGCATAATGATATAAGAAAATTGGTTGTTTTGGATTTATTTGACATAAAACAAATTTAAGAAAAAGAAATGAAGAGTTGACAAAATGAATAAATGCAAGGCAGTGAGTTTGCAGTATATTGAGACAAAATTGAGAAGAAGGCACATGATGACCCATGCCTTTGACCATGTGACCCAAACCCCCCTCAATCCAAATTTTATTTGTCCCTTTCCATTTTGGACCCATCTTACATACATTATCCATTTTTGGATAAAACAACATATCTCATTTATCGTACCAAACATCGCCTAAAATTCCAATTTTTGCTCCTACATGGACCCGTGTTTGTCAACTTAGAGCGGGTTTCTCTTGTAGGGAGTCGTGTAACACTTTTTATCATCACGGATGCTTCCACGAAAGCTACATTGCTATCTCAACACTACTTCTGTAATTTTGATATAGTTGACTTAGGTTTAATATACGTTTGAATTTTTCAATTTTGAGAGCTGTTAAATAGTATCCTCATTAGATATTTGAGCGAAAAGTTGATTATTGTCAACCTCAACCAGCCCCATACTATTCGGAACCCGTCTCCTAGGATTTCATAAGCTTCTGTTGGAGGAAACATAGTTTTTTTTAGAGACCGCAAGGCCCTTCTTTTGACCTTTAATAAGTACATGTATCAAGGAGAGCCCACCATGAACACGAACACACCAAGATCCAGACTCTTAAATGATTCATTTAATGCTTAAGGGTTGGTCCTTATTAAGTGGATTCATTTTCCATGATGGCATGGCTTTTGAGAGAGGACAATCTTTCAAATCTTATTGTAACAAGTCATTCCATATGGATAGGAAATGGGATTTGTGAGTTTCTTATAAGTCTCAAGTTGTGGCCTGCCAATAACTTTCACCTTTCCCCCCTAGGATTATTTTTAAAGATGTCCATTAAGGTTTTAAGTATAAAATTCTTTTGGGCTCCTCCACTATTGTTGATCCAGTCCATTTGTGTTCCGCCCCTACCAGAACGGTATGACGAAGTTCTGGAACTTATTATTTCTTTCGAGATCTGCTCTTAGAATGTGCATGCTTTACTATCACCTTCACCAGATATAGCATAAGTTATGTTACAAGAAGACATAATTTTAGCATTTGCATTCATCTTAGGCATTACAAGTGCAGTTACTAGAGAATCCATTAGTCTTTCAACACTTAAGGGGTTGTTTGGTTGGTTTTCTATTAAGTCCCATATGGATAAAGTTGTCTATGTGGATTAATCTGTCTCTATAGATTGGAAAAGTTTTTGTTTGGAAGGGTTTTTCATAAATGGAAAAAGTGTGTTTTTTAATTAGGAGGGACGAGTTTGGAAAAAAACTTTCTACATAAAGCTCCCCCTTAGAAGCTTTCTAAATAAGTCACTACCAAATAGTCATGTATATAGTACACTAAGTAAGCTGTGAGTCCCATTAAGTTCATTAATTAAGCTACTAACAAACAGCCCTAAGCTATAACTTTTCATATGTGTGTTTGGACACCTGGATATGTTTTTGACAGCCAAACAAGCAAATGTTAGAACTTTGTATTGGCTTATTGTATATCTTGGTGTGCCAATTCAGCCATCTTTGTAAATGGTAAAAAAAAATTCTAGAGAAAAGCAATAACCTGATCAATGGTTATATGTGCTTTTGTTTCTAATGAAGCAACTGAAAATTTGGAGTAGAAAAACAGTACCCAAACTGGCTTTAGTTTCTTATTTTACCCTGTTCTCACTAGCCTTCTGTCTCTCCGAGGCCGTTTGGTTGGTTTTTCATTAAATTGTATATGTATAAAGTTGTCTGTGTAGATTAATCTGTTTGTTTAGATTGCGAATGTTTTTGTTTGAGAGAGCTTTTTTTATAGATGGAGTGAGCATTTTTTTAATTAGGAAGGGTAGTTTTGGTAATTAAAAAAAGTGGCTTATTCGTGTAAGCTACCATGACTATTTGGTAATGACTTAGGGCCTGTTTACTAATGGCTTAATGAGCTTACTGGATAAATTGGCTTATTCGGACAGACAAAATAGCATGTTTACCTTGGGCTTATTCGCTCAGAAATGGGCTTATTCGCCCAGATCAAAAACATTAGTTGTCCAGATTAAGCCATGAAAAAGACTCTCCCTACCCTTATTCGCCCTACCCTTCGCCCAGATCAAAAATTTCCATCGACGCTCTTTCTTCTCCATCGACAGTCAATTGGACGACGCTCTATTCTTCATCGACAGTCGACAGTCGGATGACGCTCTTTCTTCATCGATCGACGCTCTCTTCTCCATCCAAAGAACCCTAATCGGACGACGCTCTATTCTTCATCGACAATCGACAGTCGACGCTGTCTTCTTCTCCATCCAAAGAACCCTANAATCGGACGACGCTCTATTCTTCATCGACAATCGACAGTCGACGCTGTCTTCTTCTCCATCCAAAGAACCCTAATCGGACGACGCTCTATTCTTCTTCTTCATCGACAGTCGATGATGTCTTCTTCTCCATCGACAGTCGATGCTGTCTTCTTCTCCATCGACAGTCGATGCTGTCTTCTTCTCCATCGACAGCCGATTGCTCTAAAGTTCCATATCGATTTCATGATTGTTCGATTTCTGTTTGCTTGTGTTTGCTTGATTTTTATCGATTTCATGTTTGTTTGATTTTTCTTTGCTTGTCTTTGTTGCTAGAAAGAATCAAAGAAACCCTAGCCGAGCCATGAAAGTTGTTTGTTCTGTTTTATTTTCAGGGGTAAATTGGTCATTTATGTTATTCAGATTGATGATTCAGATAGAAAAGTAAACATCAACATAAATTTATCCAGACAGACAAATTTATCCATACAGGACTTAATAGAAAATTTGGTAAACAGCCCCTTAATGACATAGAAAGTGGCTTATTCGTGTAAGCTACCAGTGGGGAGGTTTAAGTAGAAAGCTGTATTTTCCAAACCTGTCCCTCACAATTAAAAAACATACTCCTTTCATTTATGAAAAGAACCCTACCAAAAAAAACTTTCTCGGTCTATATAGACAACATTATCCGCACATGACTTAATGAAAAACCAACCAAACAGCTCTTCTCACTTGGGTTTGATCTTATGTATGATGTTATTTGAATGAAGGGTTAGCAATGCCATATATTTTATGACCAAAATTTAGGCACAAAAGAAACTGAGATAGAGAATATGGTACAAATTCATGGATAAAATATGTAGCAAAAGATTGAAATGGGATGAATTCTAGAATCACAACATCAACAAGCAACTCCTTCTAAACTTCTTGGATCTCATCCAATGCATAGTTGTTGGTTGAGACATTTGCATAATTCACTTTGTTAAATCGCACAACCACCGGGTACCGAGTCTTTGGGTCCTGCACGTTATATTATTCGTCAACATCTCGTACTCGATTAACACATTTGTTGCACACACAGTATTAGTTTTACCTGATCTACAGTCACAACTGATCCCACTCCTTTGAACCAGTAGGACTCCTTCCTCAGGATTCTCACCTGTGTGCAGAAGATCATGTTGTCAACCGGTTATTCTTTGTGCAAGTGTAAGAGCGGCTTGTTTGTTAGCGGCTTAATGAGTTTAATGGGACTCGCAAATTATTCGGTCAACTATATATGATTGTTTGGTAGTGGCTTAATGATATAAAAAGTAAGCTTCTAGCGGGAAGCTTTATGCAGAAAGCCAAGTTTTTTTTTCCATGTCTGTCATTCCATCTACGAAAAACTCTCCCAAATAAAAACCTTTTGAATCTATACCGACAAATTAATCCATACAGACAGCTTTATCCATAGAGGAGTTAATGGAAAACCAACCAAACAACCCCTAAGGGAAGAACCGAAGAAGATGGCCCTCTAGGCACACTTCTGACCAATGTTAGGGACTGTATTTCGGATGAGATATAGGGACTGGATAAAAATCAAGAATCGTGTCGGAAAGCATTTTGCAAATACAATAATTCAACTCTATTCGCCTTGGGTTCACAAATTTCGTATTGGGATAATTATTGAGATTATTCTCTCTTTCAAAGGCTGTGAAATAGAGACACTATACCCAGATTCTCGTTTTACATATTTATATGAGAGAGCGACGGTTATTGGCGGTTAACGGTTATAATCGTTAATGGATAACGTCAAAGGATAGTTACAACCGGATCTGAAAACCGAAACATGCAGGTCCATGCCTCTAGAAACACTGGTCGGGTAGGACCAAAGACTTCTATCTCGACCAAAGGTAGGACTAGAGACGGCTAGCCCGCCCAGAGACTCGACCAGAGACTTGTAAGATTTTTTAAGTCTGAAAATCACAAGTCTTGGACGCACAGATCCAGACTTCGCATGCATTGTTTCAGAGTACCGCCAAGGGGCTCCGTCCCTTGGAACCATGCTGCGCCCCTAGAGCCCCCCAAGGGGGAGAAACCCCCTTCTTGACCCCCACTTTATGACAATCTAAGGCGATAGTGGCAACATTTGTAAGTGTGAGTGTGCACTCTGCACTTCCTAACTAGAGTGCACACTCACACTTACGTATGTTAGCTTCATCGCCTTAATCGATCTCAAGTAAATCACAATTAGACCAAAATGTTTGATGACACTAAAATCACCAACAACCAATAACAAGGGGCCATTTACCACCACAAATTGGGTAAGCACTAACGCGGTAAGAGTGTGGTTTGGTTCAACAATAATCATTGGGTGTGTTTGGTACAATGGATAAGATTGAATAGAACAGGGATCACTATTTCAGGTTTGGCAGGACTTTTATATGAAACATGGTGGAATGGAGTGGAATAGACGTGTTTCACCCTTACCCGTGGAACAAGGTGGAATAATGTATTTTATCAATATAACCTCAAAATAGAACTTAATTCTCTTCTAAAACATCGCATACGTCTCCCTCTTTACACTTTATTCATCTTTTATTATCGTAATTTTTGTTTTTAAATATTCACTTTACCGTTCTCAAAATATTAGATTTATACGGAATCTATATTTTGATTAATTTATGTAATTTATTAAATACTAATAATAGAAAATAATACAGAAAATGTATAAAATAAAATTTGAAAACCACATAAACTTTTAATTTGATGTTATTTTAGTTGTCTGACAAAAAACTTTCTAATGATATATTTTATTATAAAAACATTTATTTTATTATTATTTAATAAATTACATAAGTTAATCAAAATATATAAACAACTCATCAGGAATAAATTGTTCATTTTATTTGTCAAGTTCCGTCTTATCTAACGATGAACAGTTGTTTTGTTTTTATTCTATCCGGATACCAAACTAACAAGTGAGCATCTTCGTCAGCATCATGGATCAATAACCAGGTAAGTGGCTAGTAAATGATAGAGTAATTATTTAAGATCAAGATCCCACCTAATCAACTCTTGATCTTGACCCATGATATTAGTTACTCATTTTGCTCTCATGAGGAAGTTTCAAACGAGAAAACAAGAAAAACATACTTAATGTACAAAATTACATCTGATTTTACATTAACATCAAAAAAATAAAAGAAAGTGACTTTTGAACCTGTATGATTTTGTACATGTATATATATATATATATATATATATATATATATATAAAGAGAGAGAGAGAGAGTTTGTTTCAAATACAACCCATCGCATTTGTACAACCAATACAACCCAATAAATTGAGATATTTATGGAAATGATGAAAGTTTATTTATTATGATTTGAATATTTATGGAAGATGAATATGGTTCATTAATTATTATCAATACTTTATATTAGGAAACAACCAAAACTTCTATGAAATCACATATCAATCAAATGAAATGAACGGTTGAGATTGGGTTGTATTGATTGCACAAATGTCAAGGGTTGTATAATAACCAACCTCATATATATGTGTGTGTGTGTGAATTATGTATGATTTTGTATGTGAATCATATATAATTTTGTACATTAATAACTTTTTTCTTGTTTCCTTAAATTTTAGCGTTCTCGTTTGAACTTGCCCTTTGCTCTCACAAGTGATCTATTATTTATTGCCATTTATTCTTTGTGATTATTCTTGTAAAATTGTACCTATAGATAACAATGTTCAATATCACCTAAAGTATTGTGACTTCATACAAGTCTTAAGGGCATGTTTCTTAGCGGTTTAACGAGCTTAATGGGACTCGCAGCTTATTCGGTCAGCTATATATGATTGTTTTGTAGTGATTTAATGATATAGAAAATGGATTATCGGTAAGCTTCCAAGGAGGAGCGTTATGAAGAAAGCCAAGTTTTTTCCTAACTTGTCTCTCTCAATTAAAAAACACGTTCCTTCATCTATGAAAAAACCCTTCCAAACAAAAACCCTTTTAATCCATACAGAAAGATTAATCCACACAGACAAGTTTATTCATACAGGATGTGATGAAAAACCAACCCAACAGCTCCAAAACAATCAGTTGCTGGATGAATGGAATCAGAATTTAACAGTAACAATACTCTTATCTAATATGAGAAGAGGGTGAATATCTGCATTGTAATTTTGATTTGTAAGGGGATGTTTAGGGGCTGTTTGGTTGGTTTTCCTGTATCGATGAAGCTGACTGCATGGATTAATCTGTGTACATGGATTTTCATATATGGAAGGAGTGTGCTTTTTATTTGGGAGAAACATGTTCGGAAAAACTTGGCTTTCTACATAAAGCTCTCCTTAGAAGCTTACTGAATAAGTCACTTCCTATGTCATTAAGTCACGACCAAATAGTCATGTATATAGCTCAGCGAATAAAGTGAGTCCCATTAAGCTCATTAAGCTGCTAACAAGTGTTGATTGTCTCTTACTCGTTAAGAGCCTTTTACCCCATAAGAGATAATATTGTTTACCTACACTTGTAACTTATCGAAATTGTTTTATCGGAAAATATTTGGTAAACCACCATTAGCCTGAACCTCTTATCTTAAAGTGCACTCTTACCCATTTAGCGCTTACCCAATTTGTGCCGGTAAATGTTATTGACTCAAGTGTGTTGCTTTCGCCTAGGACATAAAAATTGTTATGATAATTGTAGGATACGATTGGGTTTTCGGTTTCTATTCGAGGCTAAAACTCGGGAGTCTGATGGAAGTTTTTAACATCCTGTCCTACTATACATCCTCTATCGAGATGAATTGAGAACCAATTATTCATGTGTATCATGTGGATGTACATACTAACCAACATATAAATCATGTATGGATAAAGTTGTCTATGCGGATTAATATGTCTATATAGATTGTAAAAGTTCTTCTTTTGGTTTAAAGGGTTTTTTATAGATGAAAAGAGCGTGATTTTTCAATTGGACAGAGAAGGTTCGGAAAAAACTTGGTTTTTTGCAAAAAAATTCTCCTAAAAGTGGATAGAACAAGCCACTTTCTATATCATTAAGCCACTACCAAACAATTAATATATGTGATGAAAAACCAACCAAAGAGTCACTATTCTTGTCTTGTTATATATGGAGATAGATAGATAGATAGATACCTTGGTTCCTCTCTTGGGTCCAATTGGTGGTGGCTTAGGCTTCTCTGCGATGGTGCTGGTGGTTGGTTCACCGGCGGCAGGTGGTGGCGCGGCGTCTTCAGCAGCCCTGACAACCAATCTTGAAGCCCTGGTATTTTGGGAAGGTAAGAGAACCACCATATTGGGCTTAATTGTGGTTGTGTTGGAGGTGGTGACATTTGGTGTCACCATAAATCTTGAAGCAGCAGATGCCATACTGCAACTTGCCATTTTCACTTGAAGATGATGATGATGATGAACAATCAAATTTCAAATTTGGGGGTTTTGATCCGATCCAATCCAATCCAATGGGAGGCATCTTTTTCTTGAGTGAATGGTGTTGGTCTCAATTGAGACAGCCACTAAAGTGTTGCCACCTGGATATTCATATCCTTCCATTGGATAATGTTGTCCCACGCCATTTGCTTTCTGAACTCAGCCCATTCACTACCTATCCAAATCTCATTTAGATTTGCTTCTATTTATGGAGATGGTGGTTTTTAGTTTTTAATTACTTTTTTGGTCTAAATCTAATGGTTATAAATTTGAATATTATAATGGTATTATTCGGTTACTTATACATTACTATTTGGTATTTACTTAATAATATATTGGTTGTGTACCCGTGTAATGCGACGTGCCGTGAATTTTAACGATTTCGAAGTTTCATTGGTTTTATTAGAAAATATTTAACGATGATATAAGTTTAACTTGGTCTTTACATATTAATACAATTTGAATAAATAAAAGTTGTGGTTCTAATTACAGTCTATCGATGGAAAAAATTGTATGACACTTTAAAATCTAATATATTTAAAATCTAACATATTTAAACGACTCCACAGATGTGTTCGATTTATACCAAAAGCAAATAATCACAAGATCGAGAGTGAACCCGATAGTTCTAGAGCAATTGAATAGAAGATGAATGTGAGAACTTTTAATAACTCGTGGTAAATATCAGTTTGAATCTCACCTTGGAGGACGGGGAGAAGACATAGAGGTATGAGATGGTGAATACATGAGTGAAATGTGTCAAAAATATCTTGGGAACATGAAAATAAAAGATAATAATGCGCATTGGTAACTTGTACTATATGTTATTTTAATTGTAGATTAAGATATTTTAAGACTGAATGCATAAAAAATTAGTATTTAATGCATTATGTGTTGTTTTTAAGACTTTGTGCATAAATGTATAGTACTATGTGCATTAAAAGTTGTTTTTAAGACTTTTGATAAATCTGATTTATAAGGTAATATAGATAAAGTGCTTACTCGGTAAGTTTAGGGAGAGTTTTATATAGAAAGTCAAGTTTTTCCCAATTTGTCCCTCTCAATTAAAAAAACACATATTTTCCATTTATGAAAAACCATTACAAACAAAAAAAACTTCTCAATTTATACAGACAGAATAATTCTGACAGTCAACTTTATTTATACAGATGTTAATAGAAAACCAACATAATAGAAAATAAACTGGCTACTACATTGTCCTAAGAAATGTTAGTGTTTAAATTAGAAGCGTTAATAAAAATGTTTTAGTTGTTAGTTTAATTTAAAAATATCCCTTAATAAGGATACAAGTATTATGGCAGTCGGTTTTATTCATACAGAAGTTAATGAAAGGCAATTTGAGAGATCGATGGGAACAGTCTAATTATGCAACGTCAAATGGTACTTCTAAGGTGTCCTCTTTGGAGAACTGATTAGTTTGTGGTAGCTGTCAGATTCAATGTGAATCATTCGTTTGAGATATTTAAGGATATTTCTTAAATGAGCTAAAAATGTAATATAATAATTATATTTTTGACAACTAATCAAACTATTTAATTAATTTTTTAAAAGAAATTATTTAATTAAAGTTAGCTACCTAGAATATCAATTATCTAATATAGATCGTATTTTAAAGACGTTTGTGACTCAACGTGTATCATACTGATAACGTTCATAATGTTTCACGTGTATCACAATGTATTTTTTTTGTTTTATGAAATGTATCATAGTGTGCATTTTTGCTATTTTTATTGTTTTACAAAGTGTATCACATTGTGCATCTTGTATGTATATCTGAGTATCATAGTGAATATCGTTTGTAGATATCACAATGTGTATCTTATGTTCATATAAAGTTCATCGGAGTAAGATTCGCCGGAGAGGGAAAGAGGAAGATGAAAGAGAATATTTATAAAATCCTTAAAATGCCCTTAATTTATATTTTAAGTTAACATTATCAAAATTATTAATTTTCTAATTTAACTTTTAATTTATGATTAAGATTGAATCTCACGGTTACTACAAATAAAACAATTCTCGTTTGATTAAGCTAATGGAAGAGAGAACATTATTAGTGCTAAATTAAGGTTTAAAGGGTAAACTTTTTTTTAATTAAATTGAATATTCAACTTGCTTTGCGAGCCGACTAATCATAAAATGACCACCTACTTTGTAGATAGTCTAGAATCACCGTATTTGAATCTTCGTAATCACAATAGGATTTTTATTCCTAGTTGGATTTGAAAATGGTAGTTTTTGACTCCACACGGGTGGTTTGAAGGGGTAAACTTGATATCACGATGAAATGGTTACCAATTTGATTTTGGCGCTTAATTAGCCTTTGCAGATTGCAACTCATATTTTTCAAAAAAAAAAATTAGGGATTGTGTATCCTAAATTTCAAAGCAACGATGCGCAAGAACACCACGAAATTCAAGTCTAACCCTGGTAAAAATTCACAACACAACATTCGGAGTTCTTCAATTAGAGATATCATTGGAGATCGTCGCTTCAATGGTCACTTTAGCCATGCAAATACTCATGGAACTGAAGGTAATTTGATTAAATTCGAAGTCAGTTTGTAATATTTTTCTCTGACCTATTTCCCTCCAAATTTGTGTGATTTTCTTACATGGAATGCATTTTGTACCTTTGAAGATATATTATGCTGGAATTGATTACCGACAATAATCGTGTTTTTCAATTTGGTGACATGATTATGCTGTAAGATATGGAAGATCTAACTATCATCGCCGTTTTGAGTTTTAATTATTGCTATTGCTATTTGAATCTGTTTTTGGTGATAGCACTGAAGAAGGTAAAACGAATGAAAGTTGGGGAAGCTGAAACTGATGATCTCCCTGATTTGGAACGAAATGATTCTTCCATTCAATTTGAAGTTACTGAGGATCTAAGACGTAAGTTCTCATCTTCTACAAACCTTTGACCTTTACTGTGAATAAATTCTATTACTAGTATCAGTCAAACCATTCTAGAATTTTGTTTGATTTTTGCTTTTTTGTGGTATCAAAGGAGTAAGTTTAAAGATCTGAATGTAGGGTTTTTCTAGAATTGGTAGTGGCTTTATGATATAGAAAGTGGCTTATTCGGTAATCTTCTAATTAAGAGCGTTATGCAGAAAACCAAGTTATTTTTCAAACCTATACCTCCCAATTAAAAAAGACACTCCTTCCATCTATGAAAAAATCTTCCCAATCTATACATACAAATTAGTTCACACATACAGCTTTATCCATACAGGACTTAATAGAAAACCAACCAAACAGCCTCTTAGCTTATTTTATCCTTCCACCAATTCTCAAGAACATTTTGGTACCTGATTGTGAAGTATAATGACTTTATGAATCTAGGTTGCTGTGGAGATTTTTCTGCAAAGACTTCTGAGTATGCATTCTTCAAGAAAATGAAGGAGAATACTTGTAGCGACGTAAATGTACATCTGAAATATCATGACAACCAATTAGACAATCTTCAACAGAGTGATCGTTTCACAAGAGAAGGTTCGTACTTCTCATTTCTGTGTTCCCCATGGATATTTTTGCTGTCATGTCAAAGTTGGGACTTACAAGTTTCTATCACATTGACGGTTACAAGAAGTTATATTTTGCAGAGATCCATGATGTGCAGAAAGATATCTTTAAGTATGGCAGATCTTCATTTCCTGCTGAGAAAGGGAGAGATGATGATACCCACTATTCCTTTCTTGCAACCCCATGTTGTGGATTAAAGAACTCTGGTGAGAAAATGTGATGAGACAGGATGCATGAAATAATTAAGCATTACTTTTATCCTAGAAGCATGTTTAACTCGTGATTTGATGCAGAGGTGAACCATGGGCTTGGAGCCGGCAGCACAAGTGCTCAAAAAGTTAGACCTGGTGAATATAACTGGTTGTCTCCATCAGTCGGCAGCAAAACAAAGACCTCAGGTGAACATTCATCAAGCAATGAGATCAGGGTAATTTTATATATTGTATGATGGTTATATCACTGGGAAAATAGACCAAAATTGCTACTCTTTCCTTGATGTTCTTCCCCTAGCTACTAGTCAGAAAAGAGAAACCGATTTCTTTTCTCTGAATATAAAGAGCTTATCTGTCTTCTCAAATTTCTTCATCTTAAAATGTGTTAGAATCAACCAAGTTAGACAGATTTCTCTTAATCAAAGGCCAAAACTCGAGGTTGAGATAGCCATAAAAAACACGAGCTGCCACTCATCAACTCACTTTAACCTATATGTTACCAACACTAATTATGGGCTGTTTGGTTGATTCAGTTAAGTCCTGTCTGGATAAAATTGTCTATGTGGATTAATATGTCTGTATAGATTGAGAATGTTTTTGTTTTGGAGGGTTTTTTCATAGATGGAAGGAGCTTGTTTTTTATTTGGGAGGGGCAGGTTTGGAAAAAACTTCGCTTTCTACATAAAGCTACACCTAGAAACTTACTGAATAAGTCATTTTCTATATCATTAAGTCACTACCAAACAGTCATGTATAGTTGACCGAATAAGATGCGAGTCTTATTAGGCTGCTAACAAATAAGCCCTAAGGAAGATAGTGAATTTCTTAATGATTTTGGAACTTCAGGTGATAGATGGATATAAATTATAATTAAGGTGATGCACCATATGGATACCTAGGGTTGGGTTCTGGTGAGAAGGAGAGTTAAGATGAGAAACGTAAGAATGGATCTCCGCCCTTGGATGCACATTAGACTGAGATGCACTGAGATGAGATGCACCGGATCAATCCCCGTATCAAGCTCATTCATGGGTGGGTTTGAGATTAAAGCTGATTAAAGGTCCAGATCATTTCTTACGCTTCTCACCTTAACTCTCTTTCTCACACGATCTTTCGCCTGGATACCTATACTCCTATTTATCAAGTCCCTACGGCAAAAAGATCTCATAGATTCTAGAGGGAGACTGAGCAATTCTATATTCTAATTTATAATTCCAAATCTACTAATCAAGTAATCATTCTTGGTGATCTATTCATATATG